ATGAACTCAGCATCAAGAATTTTGCAGAGTATTCCAGTGGAGTTCCCACGGGGAGCTGCTTTCCTTCAAGCCCAGCTTTGAGTAAGGGGAGAAGGGCAGTGAGACGCGCCACTGCCATGCTGTGCTCCAGTCAGGATGGGGGCGCAGGAGAGGCTTCGTGTCCGAAGAATGTGGCAAAGGGCAGCCAACATCCTCCCCCTCCCTGCCCCCAGCACACACACCCACATCCTCACCCCATCAAGGGCTGTAAAATTAGCCATCCAACCAGAATGATGCCTTTAATGCTCCCAGGATATTCATCTTATCTGAGAATGATTCATGGCAGCTATTATTTAAAATAATAAAAATATTCAAGGCTGGGCACGGTGACTCATGCCTGTAATCCCAGCACTTTGAGAGGCCGAGGCAGGTGGATCACCTAAGGTCAGGAGTTCGAGACCAGCCTGGCCAACATGGCGAAATTCCATCTCTACTAAAGATATGGAAATTAGCCAGGTGTGGTGGCATGTGCCTGTAATCCCAGCTACACTGGAGGCTGAGGCAGAATTGCTTGAACCTGGGAGGCGGAGGTTGCAGTGAGCTGGGATCGTGCCACTGCACTCCAGCCTGGGTGACAGAGCAAGACTCCGTTTCAAAATATAAATAAATAAAAAATATTCAAGACAGTCAAAAGGAAAGATCAAAATGTTATGAAGGATGAGGGAAACAAGCTGAGATGAACATACAGGGCCCTGAGCTTCCTGTCAGCTAAAATAAGAAGGGGGGAACAATGTGTTCTAGAATCCTCACCGAGAAGCAGAGAATTTTCCCTAGATCAGATTCTGGTTTTTGTTTTGTTTTTTGTTTTTTGTTTTTTTGAGACAGGGTTCGCTCTGTCGCCTGGGCTGGAGCGCAGTGGCGCAATCTGGGCTCACCGCAAGCTCCGCCTCCCAGGTTCACGCGATTCCCCTGCCTCAGCCTCCCGGGTAGCTGGGACTACAGGTGTCGCCACCACGCCCTGCTAATTTTTTTTGTGTTTTTCAGTAGAGATGGGATTTCACAGTGGTCTCAAGCTCCTGACCTCGTGATCTGCCCGGCTTGGCCTCCCAAAGTGCTGGGATTACAGGCGTGAGCCACCGTGCCCGGCCCCGAAATCAGATTCTGAAAGGGATTTCTTGTGTGGACACAAATGCCAACAGAGAATTTTTTTTTTTTTTTTTGAGACAGAGTTTCACTCTTGTTGCCCAGGCTGAAGTGCAGTGGTGCAATTGGCTCACTGCAACCTGTATTTTCCAGTGATTCTCCTGCCTCAGCCTCCTGAATAGCTGGGATTAGAGGCGCCTGCTACCGTGCCCAGCTAATTTTTGTATTTTTGTATTTTTAGTAGAGACAGAGTTTCACCATGTTGGCCAGGCTGGTCTCGAACTCCTGACCTCGTGATCTGCCCACCTTGGCCTCCCAAAGTGCTGGGATTACAGGCGTGAGCCACCGCGCCCGGCCTGCCAACAGAGATTTTATGGAAGATGAAGCAGCAGCTTTTCTCGTGTGCCCATTTCTGAGAGTTATTCCAGGACTCACCAAGGGTATTGAAACTGAAGGAGTGGTAGTCTTTCTCTGAGTACAACATGGCACGGTAGGGATTGAGGGGTAGAACCCAACCATACGTAGGCATGGAGGGATGGCATGTATGTTCCCAAGGTGTCACTTCTCTTAGCCAAACATTGTTTTGCATATCTAAGTATGAATGCCAGTGATGGTATCAAATGGTCGGTGGCTGGGATCCAGCCCCTGTATTTTTGATCAGCTGACAGAATCCCAGAGGAAATATACACAGAGGCCGCTCTAAAAAACCCTTCTGTTGATGACTTCACACCTTTGGCGCCGTGAGGCAGCGTGGTGGGCTAGTCCGGAGAGTCTGGTGCCTGAGGACTCCTGTGGCTGGAGAAGTGGCCCAAGGCCCAGAAACTTCCTTGGTACCAGCCCCGGGTCCACATCCTTATTACAATGGCCCTTTAGATCTTACCACATTCTAGGTAAGGAAGGGAGATCGGAGGTAGGGAATACCAAGGACAAGAGAGAAAGGGTGTCTCTGAATGACCCAGGGCAGAACTGGCCAGGTGCCATCCCTGGACTCCTAGGTCATGACCGAGAAACTCAGAGGAGGAGAAAGGGTGAGAAAAAGTGAGCAAGTTACTTAAAGTTTCTCTTCTCATTTGGACTATAAGCTCCCTGTGTCTGTTTCTGGTCTCCTGTGCCCAGCAGAAGGTATGGGACCTAGTGAATGTTCAATAAATAGTTTTTGGGAAAAGAGCCCGAGGGGGCTGGAGTCCAGGTATTGGGAGGCTGTGAGGGAAGAGGCGGTTGGATCAGTAAGTCTGGAAGGAGAAGTGGGGAGCTAAAGTTCCCGGAGGGCAGGTCACTCTCAGAGGCCCATGGGAATGACATCAGGGGGAGACTCCCAGAGTGGGCCTCATGGCAGCTTTTTTCTCACCAGTGGTCAGAATGGCCCCAGGACTGCAGCCCACCAGATTCGTCAAGGACACAAAAAATGAGTCAGAGAAGTCTCCCCCAGCCCCTAGCCCTGTGAACCAACCATTCCAGGCAGTGTCAGTGTCTCTGCTCCAACAGGTGTGTGCCCATGGTCCTAACTGCCTGGCACTGGTCAGTCCTAGCTGGGTATGGAGCTCCCCTTTGAGAACAGGGCTGTGCCAGGCCTGTGGGAGACCAAGTACTAGCTCTGATGGTTCTCACTTGGACAGCAACCAGCTTAGTCCTGCTAACCTGGGTCCACCTGAGCGGGTAGAAGGGAGCTTCCCTGAGCCAAGGAAGAATGCTGAATTCAGGCCACAGGCAGAAAGAAACAGGACACAGAGAAGATTCCAGGAAAAGAGGAAATCTGCTCCCAGTACACACCACCTCCCTTGTGGAGGCAAAGAGGAAGAGGCAGAGTTCTAGAGCCACGTCCCAAATGAGGTGAGCAGGATCCAGGTTTTTCAGGTCCTATTTACGGACTCACACTAGTCATGGAGTTAGAGCTGGAAGAAACCTTAGAGGCCATCTAATCTAGCACATGCATTTGATGAAACTGAATTTGCTGATGAAATTGAAGCTCAGGTCATGAGATGAGGAACAGCTTGAACTCCGGGAGCATGCTGTTTGGGTTTGAATTCTGTGTGACTCACTTCATACTGCATATTGGCTTGAGACAACTTAAATCTTCATGAGCCTTTCCTCATCAGCAAAATGTGCTTAATTATAGCTACCTTGTAAAGTGGCTGAGAAAATCAAGTAAGGCCCATATGCTAAAAGTACCTCGTACAGTGCTTAGCATACAGGTGCCCCTGACCCTGAGTTCTAGCCAAGAAAACGAATACAGAAGCAATGTCTACTGTTTTCAGACCTGGCTCATAACCCTTTCTGCTCAACATTCTGTGCTCTCTTCTCTGATCAGCACAGTGGATCCAGCAGAGAAGCTCAAATCTAGAAGAGGTTTGCGGGGTGACGAGGAGGGAGGGAGCCTGGGTTCCTGAACGCACAGGCAGAACCTTCATTCACCCCTCCACAGACCACACTGCTTTGCTACAGGAGTTTGGTGACTGTGGTAAACTGCTGAAAGTCTGGGCTTGTTTCTTACAGCTGTTAGCCTACTCTACTTGGCAACAGAGAATTATGAGCTGGGAAAGCACAAAATGGCGATATGGAAATTGCTTTTAAAAATTCAATTTAGGCTGGGCATAGTGGCTCATGCCTGTAATCCCAGCACTTTGAAGGGTCTCGTTCTGCTGACCTTGTTACGTTCTTGGAAGATAAATCTAGTGCCTCAGTAAAAGTGGTTACCATTTACATTGGTGCTGCCCAACAGAACTTCCTGCAATGATAGACACGTCCTATGTATCTGCACTGTACATTACTATGTTGTACAGGTCGCATACAGCTACTAAGTGCTTGAAAGGTGACACCCGAGGAACCAGATGTTTAACTTTAGGGTCAAGCCCCTGGGTTCTCACGCCAGCACAGGTACTTTAGAAAAATTTGTATAATTTCTACTGATGGTCAATGAACTAATACCAGTTTAAAAGCTTTCTTGGCTGCATTCAACACAATATAGTCAGAAATTTTAGAATGCGTACCTTTTTTTTTTTTGAGATGGAGTCTCACTCTGTTGCCCAGGCTGCAGTGCAGTGGCGCCATCTCGGCTCACTGCAAGCTTCGCCTCCTGGGTTCACGCCATTCTCCTGCCTCAGCCTCCTGAGTAGCTGGGACTACAGGCGCCCACCACCATGT